CCCGGAGCCCCCCCAGATCCGCGCCCCCCCGCGCTGTCCGGACCCCGGCCCCGGCCCGTTACCCACCTCTGCTGCCCCCGCCGCGGCTCCGGTTCGGGCCCTCGCTCACATCCAGACCCGGACCTCGTGTCTGAGCCCCCGTCCCAGACCCCCTCAGACAGTGTCCCCCCACTCCCCCACCCCGGCGACAAGAGGGTCTGGGGGACACGGTCACCCTGTGCCCCCCGGGGGCTGGGGGGGCGGGGGGGTCTCCAGACACCTCCACATGTGTTGAAGAGTCCCCCCCCCAGCCATTAGAGGCAGCCAGGGGGCCCAGGCGTCCGAGGCTGTGGAGGGTCCTGCCCGCTGGGAGCCCAGGTGTCCGTGTGCGCGTGGGGGGCCCTGTCCTGCCCCCGCATGGACCCGGGTTCCCGGACCCCCCACGCTGAGGGGGTGACCCAGGGCTGGGGGGCAGCCCAGGGCCCTGGGGGGGGTCCCCACTGGCCCCCTCCAGTCTTTCCGGTCTGTGGCTCCCCCCATGCCAGGCCCTGGAGCGGGGGGTGCCAGATGGGGACACTCGTGCCACAGAGGAGCCAACAGGGACATAAATGGGATAAAATTAGCCCAGGGAAAGGCCACGGCCGCCGGATGCGGCTGTGCCCAGGGACGCCTGTGCCCAGGGACGCCTGTGCCCAGGGTGTCCGGCTGTGCCCGGGCTGTCTGGCTGTCCCTGAGCCGGCTGTGCCAGGGCTGGCTGTGCCCAGCGGTGTCGCTGTGCCCGGCGCTGCGGCTGTGCACGCGGTTGTACTTGACACTGTGCCCAGGGCTGCGGCTGTGCCCATGCTGTGCCCACGGCCACAGCTGGGTCCGCAGCCGGTGGCTCCCACACGAGACCCCAGTGCCCCCATCCTGTCCCATTGACCCTATACCCCCCCACCCAGGGTTCCCATCTTGTCCTGTAGCCTCCAGCCCCCCAAGGCCTCTGTCCTGCCCCATAGCGCCCAGTCCCCCGTCCTGCCCCATAGCCCCCAGGGTCCCCGTCCTGCCCTGTCCCCAAGCCCCGCCCCCGTCCCCGCCCCTCCCTCCTGCCCCCGCTCCCCACCCCCCGCCGCTCCGTTTCCATGGCAACCGCCGCCGGGCTCTCAAGGGCGGCCAGAGGGCGGGGGAAGGCGGAGGGGGCTGCCCGGTACAACCCAGTGCGTCCCAGTGTATCCCAGTGCATCCCAGCGCAACCCAGTACAATTCCGTGCAGCCCAGTGCAGCCCAGTGCAACTCAGTACAACCCAGTGCATGCCAGTACAACCCAGTACAATTCAGTGCATCCCAGCGCAGCCCAGTGCATCCCAGTGCAACTCAGTGCAACCCAGTGAAACCCAATGCATCCCAGTACAACCCAGTACAAACTCAAATAAACTCAGCGCAATCCAGTACAACCCAGTTCCCCCCCGGCAGCCGCAGCGCCCCCAGCCCGGCGGGGGGGTGGGTCAGGAAGGGGACGTGGCCGCTCCGCGGGGGGGGGTCTCTGCTGGGGCCGCCCCCGCCCGGCCCCCGCTGTCCCCAAGCTGAGCAAACAGATGACGCCGCGTGCCGGACCCCGCAGGGGGCCCAGGCGTCCGGCCCCTTCCCCCGCGCCCCCCCCCCCGGCTGCCGAGGCTCCTCTCGCCACGAACGCGCGTGGGCCGAGGCGCGCCCCGCCCCCCCCGCAACAGCTGCTGCTCGTGGGCGACAGCGACGCGTCCGCGAGCGGCGACACTGGGGGGGGGGGCGCCCCCCGACACCGCGACCCGCGCGCTCAGGCCGCGCGTGGGCAACGGGACCGAGCGGGGGCGGAGCCACGGGAGGCGGGGCCTTGTGGGTGGGGCCAAGCGGGGCGTGGCTTGGGGCGGGGTTCAGCCCCGCCCCGCCCCGCCGCGATCCGCGGGACTCGGCGCGGGATGGGGGGGCAACGAGGACCGGGCTGGGGACGGGGCGATGGGGAGGGGACAGGTGGCTCGAGGGGTG